CTTTCCTTTCCTTTCCTTTCCTTTCCTTTCCTTTCCTTTCCTTTCCTTTCCTTTCCTTTTTTTTTTTTTTTTTGTGGATTGCGATGTGGATTCCGAGCCAGACAGCCCTGTTTGTTCACACGCCTGGGCTCAACCGTGGGGATCTCGCTGGTGTTTTTAATAGACTCCTCAAGGGAGCAGCCGCAACTCCAGGAGCTTAATTGATGGCCTGGTGCTTAAGACGTGCAACTTTGAAAAGCAATGTGGATTTTTTCTTTAGAGTCCAGACTTTCTCTCCTTCTCCCCACCCCATCCCTCTGCATTCCCCTTTCCCCCTTCCTGCCCCAACAGCTCGACCTGTTTCCAATGTCGCCCGCGATTCTAATAGAGAGTCGGGGCTGCCACGCTGCCAAACGGGAGTGATTTACTACCGATTAAACCCCAAATGGGATTGTTTTCTCTCCTTCCTTTTTTGTGCCATCAGCGTTCCCTGGGGGGGCGGGTGGAGAGCGAGGGGGAGAGAGAGTCATCACCCCCTTCCCATTTCTGGCCAAGGAGAGGGATTAAGGCAGGCAGAAAACTCCTGGGAAGCTTTCCTGGGTGGGGCAGGAATAGTTGGCCACGCAGGGCCAAAGAAAAAGAAAACCGCGTCAAATGAGGCCGGGAATATCTCTGCCTGGAGTCCTGTACCTGCTGGCCTCCTGTTTAAGCCAATAAGATGTTTAAGCCATAAGCAAGATGTTTCTTGGGAGCCAAGCATGGTTCACCAGTCGATTTAATAACGTCAGAATCCAGCATGGGGATTGATTGGATTCGATGTATGGTCTAATGCACGTGCATTTATGCCCCATTGCCAAGAATGAGATTACAGACACACACCAAGGCTGCAGTCCTGAAGCCGGTTATGTGGGGAGAAAGGCCCACTGGAACAAGCATCTATAGGGTCACTCTGTAAACCTGAAACTCTGTAATCCCTGAATGGTAAGTAAGTAAGTGCAGTGATTTCTCTGAGACTTGTTTCCAGGTAAGTTTCCTTGATACTGGAGCCTGGAAATTCCCTGGTTACGGCCCACCAGTCCATCCCCAAATAAATGGGGAGCAATAGAAACACGTTTGAATGAGCAGAATGGGCGAAAAAGAGGAATCGTCCCCAGGAGTTCTCTTCTTCTTTTTTAAAGTGCTGGTTCGGGCTGACCGCAACTGGATTAATAATTACCATTAATTTAAACACCGTGCACATGGCAGAACAACCGTAATAAATATCTCCCAGGCTCCTCATTCCCCAATTTGAAGTGTTGACAAGAGAGAATCAATCGATAGCAAACGCCTGGCGATGGAACGGGGTGATAAGGCAGAAAGTTCCCGATCCGGCTGCCTCTGGCCTCCTCCCCGCCCCCCCCCGCCCCGCCTTCAGCATAGCTGGAGCAGGGGCGAATTCAGAAGGCCACTCAACCTCCCACCCAGCCTTCCCACTCTAAGGCCGCCCACCTTCATGCCCTCCAGATGTGCTAGGCGTCAACTCTCAGCTGGGAAAGAGGAAAGTTGCTGTCCGATGCATCTGGAGGGCGCCAGGTTGGGCAAGGTTGTACACAATCAATTTGAGCCCAGATAAAATTCAGAAAAGATCGTTGTGATTTTGGAATCTCAATATTTAAACTTGAAAGTTGACAGGAGCGCATTTTCCATTGGGGTCCGGCTACTTTTACTTCTGGGTAAAATTTCCCTTGTGTTTGTGCTGATTCTTTCCACGGATTAAACAAGCAAAGAAATATTTAGGCTTTTACGTTTGGCCGGAACCGGAAGATGATAATCTAAGCATCTCAGAGTACCATCCGCTGGTGAGATCGGAGGCTTCAGCACTTCGGTTTTGCGCTCAGGGCCCATTTGCTTGATCTGGACCCTATAACACTGAGCCCACGCGTCTCTCGGTAGCTCGAAGGGCCTGTCTTCGCAGATTCTGAGTTTATAAATCCACCTCTCTTCTGAATCCTACTAAGCGGCGAGGGGTTTTGGGGGTGGAAGAGATGCGCCACAAGTTGTTGTCAAACCAAAGATGAGTGGTTGAATAGGTTTCCTGCCGCTGGATTTCACCGCAAAGCGACTTGCAAGTTTGCTTGGGCAGAGGCGACTTCAGGTGCTGAACACTTCCGGCTGTCCCTCTTCCATTATTCCTCCCTTCAGTTCCCCCGCCCTTCACTCGCTGTCCGGATAAGCAAGAAAGGAGAAGCTTTTGTGTTCAGAGGGGAGTCTAGTCTGCTGCTCCCCCTCCCCAGGACAAAGAAGGGGGAGAAAAGGGCCTGGCCATCATCAGCAAGGGACATTCATTGGGGTATTTCTCTCCCTGCTCTTCGGCCGCGATGCAGAGCAGAACAAAGGCACGTCTGGGTGCTGGGCTTGTTGGTAAAGTTACAACATATCAAAACCCGCACACACCCAAATCTGGGCGTCGGGGGAGAGATGGGAGGCGTTTCAGTTTGGGTTCTCCAGTCCTTTGCCCATATCCGATGGATGTGCATGGAGCTTTTCCTTTCTCTCCTACTCTCGTGTTTTTGCTCGTTTCATTTTAAATCCTTAGTCTGTCCCTCTGTCGGAACCTCTGGGCTCGGAGAGCTGGTGGGATAATTCATCCTGATTTGCGTCATCCTCCCGCAGACATGTAAAGGATAATCCGGCATGATTTTAAGAACCAGTAGCTCAAGAACCAGTAGGTCCACCTCGCTGGGAGCCAAACATTGCAACAGATTGCAGGTCCAGCCCCCGAAAGGAGACACTCAGTCTTCCCAGCCCAGCCCAGCCCAGCCCGCTTATTCCCCCTCCCCCACCACCGGCCCACAAGGGAATCGCGGATCATCCTGGTTTGGAAGAGAAGGGGGCAGAGATCTGTCCCCCCTTAATTAACAGAGGAAACTCGGTTAAAAGGGGTGGAGGGAGAAAGAGACAAAAAACAGCGGGGGAGAAATGTTAGGCTATTTGATCATTTTATTGGTTCAGTTATTTGTATTAGGCACACTCCGGCCAAGGTTCAGAACTGTAAACCCCAAGGTTTAAAAGGGGAGGTAGAAGAGCAAACCTTGGTTGGGAAGTCAGTTCTGCGGATTTCAATGAGGCTTGCTCCCGAGCAACGGGAGTTAACGTTTGGTTTCAGTTTCTCCAGGGAAAGTCAAGAGAATCAAACCTCTTTTGGATTGTACCCATTCAGATATTGGTTAATTCGATCCATGAACACAGACTTTATTCTCCTGGTCCTGAAAAACACCCTCCACCTTTGCCTGATGAGGACTGGCACTCTTTAAACCTCATTCATATTGCTATGCCAGAGATATACCTCAAATGATAAATTCAGATATTTTCTAACGTTCTCAGGCCTAAAGGCTGTAACAGAGGTTTGATTTTTACTGGAAACACACCCCCTCCCTTTTTTTAAACAGCAGGTTGGGTAAGAGCTGAGTATTATTCTTCATCAGTACTTGGGAAATTCTCCTGCTTTAATTCATTCAAAATTAAAAAAAAAAATCCAGACCAAACTGTATGCTGTATATTTTACTCCCATGAAAGAAAACACATTTTTCCAATGTTGTCTGAAAAGGAAAACACTATACGAAATGTTATACACAGGGTATGTTTTACATTGCAGTTTCAAAAGTCACCATTGCATCCACCAGAGGTACTATTCTAAAACCGATATTCACACAATGGGACTTCCTTTTTAATAATAATAATAATAATAATAATAATAATAATAATATTAATAATATGTTAGAAACATACAGTGTCGCATTTAGTATATACATTCCCTTGCTCGCAAGCGGAAAAAAGAAAAAAG